AATGATTTGAGTGTCCAATACTTCCCGAATTGAATGACAGTCCACCTCAATGTGTTTGGTACGCTCATGAAAGACGGGATTGGCAGCAATCTGAATGACACTAGTGTTGTCAACATGTAGAGGAGTAGGATCCGACTAAACAAAACCAATCTCAGCAAGGAGTCCACGAAGCCAAAGAATCTCAAAACAAGCAGCAGACATCGCACGGTATTCCGATTCGGTGGAAGATTTGGAGACGCGATCTTGTTTCTTACTCTTCCAAGATATGAAAGAGTCACCAAGAAACATGCACCAACCTGTAACAGATCATCGTGTATCAGGACAACCTGCCCAATCTGCATCACTGTAACCCACAAGCTGAAGAGGAGTCCCAGTAGGAAATAATAGGCCACGACTAGGAGAACCTCGAAAATATCGAATGATACGACGAACGGCAGCTAAATGTAGATGACGTGGAGCCTGCATGAACGAGCTAACTTGTTGTACTGCAAAAGAAATATCAGGGCGAGTAATGGTTAAGTAGTTCAAGCTCCCTACTAACTGTCGATACATAGTAGGGTCAAAAAGGAGATCACCCTCTTCCCGACGATACTTCGTGTTTACTTCCATAGGAGTATCCACAGAAAAAGTATCCTGAAGACCAGCCAATGCAATCAGATCATGAGTATATTTATGTTGATTCAAAAACATGCCAGAGGAATCAGTATAAACTTCCAAGCCTAAGAAGTATGTAAGAGGACCAAGGTCCTTCATATGAAATGAGGCTTGAAGATGCTGCTGCAGTCGGGTGATCAAGCTAGAGTCCGTTCCAGTAATAACAATATCATCAACATAAACTAGAAAAAGGACAATGCCAAGAGATGTCTTGCAGAAAAATAAAGAAGAATCATATGCACTCTGCTGAAACGAAAATTGGAGCAAAGTAGAGCAAAATTTATCAAACCAGGCCCGGGGAGCTTGTTTCAGCCCATACAAAGATCGTTTCAACTTACAGACATCCGAGGAAGAAGAGGAGGACAAACCAGGCGGAATGGTCATGTATATCTCTTCTTTAAGATCACCATGAAGAAAGACATTTTTGACATCCATCTGATGAAGAGGCCAACCTTGGGTTGCAGCAATAGACAGGACAGTCCGCACCGTGGTCATCTTGGCAACTGGAGCAAAAGTCTCCTCATAGTCTACCCCATATTCTTGTCTATTACCAAGTGCAACCAACCGGGCCTTATACCGATCTAGAGTTCCATCAGAACGTAGCTTGATAGAATAGACCCATTTGCAACCAATAGCTTTCACCTAAGGAGGACAAGGGACAACATCCCATGTATAATTATCCTGAAGAGCCCGAAGTTCCTCGGCCATTTCCGCATGCCAACAGGCATGTTTAGCTGTCTCAAAATAACTGATAGAATGGGAATAGAGGACAGAGTAACATGAAAAGAGGTATGAGAGAAACCATACCGGTCTGGCGGACGAGACACTCTGGTCGAACGGCGAGGAACTGAGGTAATATCCGAATCACCCATAGAGGATTCAGTCTGAACATACTCAGATGACGGACCAGGCTCAGGAAGGGGCAAAGTAGGTCGCCATCTTTCATATACAAGTCCAGATTTGAATCGGTCAATAGAGGGAGTCAAGTCATCAAAATGAGGCAAAACATGCATCTCAAGCAAAGACTCATCATGAGAAGGAAAGAATGACTGATTTTCAAAGAACACAACATGACGGGAAATACAAAGTCGGTTAGAGCATGGATCATAGCAAACATAGCCTTTGTGTGAAGTACTATAAACCATAAATGCGCATCTAACAGATTGAGCAGATAACTTATGTCGTTCATGAGAAGGCAAATGAACAAAACAAACACAACCAAAAATATGCATGTCAAGATATCTAGGATGCTGATGATAAAGACAAAAGTAAGGAGTTTCAAAATTTAATACACTGGACGGCAATCTATTAATTAAATAAACCGTCGTAGATAATGCTTCAACCCAGAATTTAGGTGGAACTGATGATTGAAGCAATAGAGTACAGACAACATCCAAAAAATGTCTATTTTTACGTTCAGTAATACCATTTTGTTGAGGTGTATATGGACAAGAACGCTGAGAAATGATGCCTTTTTGTTGGAGAAAATCATGAAACCCACGAGACATGTATTCACCACCTGAATCAGACCTCAGAATTTTAATGCCAATAAAAAATTGAGTCTCAACATAGGCAGTGAATTGTTGAAAAATAGATAAGACCTCAGATTTAGCACGAAGAAAATAGATCCAGGTATACTTTGTACAATCATCGATGAATGTAACAAAGTATTTATAATTTGTATGTGAGATAACAGGGGAAATTCCCCACACATCACTATGAATCAAATCAAAACAATGTTCAGCTTGACTACCATGAGAAGGAATAGAAAGAGACTTACTTTTACCTAATTAGCATGTGGAACAATCAAAAGAGAGAGGAGAAAAAAATTGATCTTTATTGCCCAACAAACCAAAGTTTATTACATGAGATAAAATAACAGAATTAGGATGACCCAACCGTTTGTGCCATACTTCACACTTATTGTTCACAGTGTTACAAACTAACGAAATAACAGCAGGAATGGAAAAATGCATAGAAAATAAACATCCAACTTTAAGCCCCTTCGCAAGTATCTTGCCCGACACCCGATCCTGCACAAGACAATCATCACGAGAAAAACGAACATCACATTTATTATCAACCAATTGCCCAATTGAAATAAGACTGGTAGAAAGCTGAGGAGATACAAAAACATCTCTAATAGTGGAATCAACATCCCCAATAGCATGAATAGGTAATTGACTACCGTTAGCAATCTGAATGTGTCAAGCCAATATAAGTTCGAACATTGCTAAGAGTATCAGAAGAACTAGTCATGTGATTAGATGCACCCGAATCAATAATCCATGAAGGGGAAAAGGAACCGTTACCTTGCAGTCCTAAGGCTGAAAATGCAAAAATAATCATCTGTTGTACCTTCTCAGTAGTAGGAGCAGAAGAAACAGAATCCACAGTAGCCTGAAAAGCATTAGCCTGACGATTCTGGGGGTGAGTAGGACACTCTTTGATAATATGCCCCGGCTTCTTACAGTAGTTACAAGATTTTCGTGTACAGTTGGTAGCAATATGTCTGTATTCCTTGCATCTGAAGCATTGAACTTTTCGCATGTCTCGTCCCTTGCCTTTTCCTTAAGCAGCATAAGCCACTGCATTGGGTATCATTTTGTCGTGCTGATAAGTGGCCTGGGTGGCAAGTCGCTGCTCCTAACGAATTAACTCCCCAAAACAAACATCCAAAGATGGCACGGGATTACGATTCATCAAATTAGAACTAGTGGCTTCAAATTCAGGTCGTAACTTCATTAAAAATTGATCACGCTTGCTTTGCGCGTGAATTTCCTGCACAACTGAGAGATATTCTTCTGGTACCTTGGCATAAATAATGTCAATAAATTCTCCCCAGAGATTATTAAATCCAGAAAAATAATCCTAAATGGAAAGATCGCCCTGAGTATAACTAGCAATCTCGTACTCTAATTGAGAACGTCGCGTTGTATTGTCTTGATTATATACTTTTTTTAAGTATTCCCATATAGATTTAGCAGTCTTATATGGCCTCAGATTAAGAACAATAAGAGGATCCACTGACCCTAAAATCCATGTCATCACCCGAGCATCTTTGGTCTGCCACTGAGCCAGTTTAGGAACATCAGTTGGAGCCTGATCACTCCCATCAATGTGACCCCATAACTCTTTCCTCATAACAAATAAACGAAATTGAAATTCCCTGGCGGAATAATTCTTACCCGTGAATTTCACCACAAAAAAATCAGAAGACATGATGGCCAAATTTAAACAAAGAATCCCAACTCGCACCGCAAAACAGCAACAAGGCCAATAAAAGGCCCAAATTAAACAACAAAGAGATTGCCAATAACCAGCCCAAGAACAATCCGAAAAAATAGACACCTCAAACAAAATAAACAATTTCAGAAAATAATTGGTAATGATACCTGCCCAGAAACGTGCAAAGATCGGCACCCCAAAAGTTGAAGACCCCGAACCAAGGATCATTGACAACTACCCAGAGAAGATCGACCACCACCAAGGAATCACCAGAGATTGCCGATACACTCAACAAAGCACCAGAAACTGTCGACAAACTTAGGACCGAAGGTGCACCACCAAGAAAACCCACCCAGAATGAGCCAAAATGCCCCAAGGGACACTCAAACAATGTTGAAAATACCAAGGAGCCCCAAAAACGACTCTAGACAACGCCGATGAGGGAGCCCAACGTGACCCAAAGGCACCGAACAGAAAAAAAACAAAAACCACACGAGAAGGGTTCGTACCTTGGGAACCTTGCTCTGATACCATATCAATTGGATTCAATGTCTCCTCTGTGAGGATTTCCTCTTATTATATAGGCACAACTATGCAATATATCAGGCTAGAATCAAGCCTAAATTACAGCTATTAAATCTTTCTATACAAAAGGAACATATGTCTATATACAGATTCTAACTAAATAAGGAAACATGGAGCGTATCATGGTGACAACAACCACCACTCTAACGTCCATCATTCATCCTAAAATGAACCAAAAGAGAGTAAGTCCCAGACACCACCTCTATTTCAGACACCGTTCTCAAATCCCAAATAATGGCAATCCTCCTGATTTACCACATAAAGGTAAAAAAGCCCAATCCTTAAACCTAACACCCCAAATACTAGGCACAATTCTTTTATCTACAACCTCTCTCTATCTCCTACAATACTACCATGTCAAGATCTGTCTTAATCAAAATCCCCCTTATGGAACTTTTCTTCCCCCCCCTCTCTCTCTCTCTCTCCAGTTTCTACGTCTCCTACCCTCAAACCCGACACAACCATCCTCTCTAACCACACGAACACGCACAACACAAACCCACAAATGCACAACTTGATTTTTCGAGACCACCATGGGCAATCAACTCCCAATCATCTCATCACCTTTCAATTTGCTCACCAACCAAACTCAGTATCACACCCCTAGAGTTAGATTGATGAAGAATTATCGATTGGGATGTGAATCCCTCTTTCTAATTCTTTGTTTATCTATCTCTCTCTCTCTCTCTCGCTCTATCGATTCTTTAATTCGTTCTCCGAATTTAGTGCAGAAAATCAAAATTTCATGTTTGTTTTGTTGTGGTAGTTGGTGGTTTGGTGCGAGTGTAATTGGTAGTGGACTTACACATAATAAAGGAGAAGGGTTATTGTTAGTTGAAATCAGGTTGGCTTGCGGTGAAGGTGGTAGAGAACAGATTTTTTGTGGTGGCAACCGACTTTTGACATAGGGAGTTGCAGCGGATGTATTAGAGTCAAGGTGAGGCTTCTGAGTTTTGAGAGAGAGGGGGGGGGGAGGTAGCTTTTTAGTTTCCAAATTTTCCCTTTGATTTGCTATCTAATTTTATTTTCCACTAACACGTGCCCTTTTATTTTTCCTAAAAATAATCCGCACATGGTATCTTCCATCTCTTTTTTTAACGACAGTTAGTGCCAAGGACCACATTGACTCAATGTTTAAACGTTGGAGATGAAATTGACAAAATTAAAACTTTAAGTACCAAGCTGCGATGAACGTTAAATCTCAAGGACCATTACTACAATTTACCCTTTATGAAATTCTAGAAACAGAACAAAAGTGTTGGATATTTAGATCTACAATCTCTATATAATCTCGACAAAAAGTACTTTGATTCTTTCTCTTAGATGTTATTTTTCTAAATTGACAAATTTTGAAAATTAGCATGCCCATCATCCACTATCTGATTCATTTGTGGTTCAAGGTAAGGAAAATCAATCATAATCACGTCCATTCAAGCAACATATGATAATGTTCCAAACAAGTCAATGGAGTTCTCATATAAATATCAGAATTTCCTTGTCCATGGCATCTCAGAAGAACAGCCTGTAGGAAAACATGTTTCTCCACGGAAATTCTTATGTCTGACAAAGCAGGTCAAAGCTAATTTTGACCATCTTGTGTCATGTCTACAAGAATCAACAATCAACGTATCAAGAAACAAGATTAGATTAAAATATATTGGCATCAAGGATCAAAATTTTATTTCGGTGTTTTGTTTTAGTAACTTAGGAAACGGAAACGTTTCTACATATTTCGAAAACATAACGAAAAAAAATGAAAAATTTAAGAATAGGAAAAAACATTAGTCGAAATATATCAAAGCACCTTGAAACATTCCGAAACAATTGTTCAAGTGCATTGAAATATTACAAAACATCTTGAAACATTATAGAATACCTCGAAATATTAAAATTTCAATTCCATCACTGATTTGTTTCGGCCTCCTTGGAAACGAAAACGTTTCAAAAATTTCAAAACGAAATTTTGATCCTTGATTGACATCAACACAAGGTGCTGGATATGCCAACCATAAAGTGATCAAAAATGCTTTCTACCTACGACAACAATAATGGGCACTGAATGATCATGGATTGATATAAGTTCGGTTCTAGACAAGGCTAAAATTACCCTATGGCTGTAACCGTGCCCCTCCCATGTAATAAAAAAACTTTTTTTTCTCTTTATCAAAAATCATTTATCTGATTGTGATATATAGAAAATTTCTTTCAAAAATTTTACGTTTACCTAATTTCTTAACTCCCTATTTCTGGTATCTATACTCTTATTATATTCTGACCTTGTTTATGGGTGTAGCTGGATCATCTAATTGCTGCTTCTGATCTGTCGTTAGCTTCACAGATTCCTCACTGATGAATTGAGGAGATTTTTTAGTTCTTGCTGTCCTCATCCCATTACACTCTAATCCTATGATGACAGGAAGCTCCATTGCTTCTGTTGCACACCCCTTCTCAACAATGTCTCTAGCAGCATTTCCCACTCCATAGCCCTCCTTACCTGGTAAACAATTTCCATTTTGGTGCTTAATATTTTCTTTTTTTTTTTAAATTCTGACCCATTATGTATGTATATAGCACACATTACATACCTTCAGAAGAATGTGGCGAGCTATTAACTGGGGATTCTGCAGGTCTTCTCTTCTTTTTTGCAGGACCCGTTGTATGGTTGTCTGGTTCACCAACTTTTGGTCCTGCACTCCCCTGTATGAAGTGGAAGTAACACTCCTGATCATGAGCATGGTGATAAAACAAAAAAATCTACAAGGAAAAGAGTGGGATTATATTATTAGTTCATTTTCTAGATTTCTTTTCTCTCATAAGGCATGAGTCGGTAAACCAGACTACTGATAAGTGATAAAGCAGTGCTTACTTGGTAACCTTGATTTCTAGGAAATAACATGAAACCTCTTTACCAGACCCTCAGTTTAGAACAAAACAAAAAACTCATCAAAGGTTATAGGCCTATGTATTATAAATTTCAAACAGGTACATAAATTTTATCCATAAACAAATAAATTCCATGGCAATCTGCTTTGTCCACCCATGGACTTGGATGGCACAGGAATTAGTGACCTTTCCAATTCAACCAGGATTTAAACCTTAAGGTGATAATCGACAAGAAACACAATGTCATGAACTTGCACCCTTCGGTTGATAGTTCAGTTGTGTCATATTAGCTTGTTTCACTTGTTCATAGTATAACCATATAGGGCATTCACAAAACTAACAGAAAAATAAATAGGCGAGATTTGACTCACAACTCTCTTTCCCAGAGAACGGCTATCACTTTTAGATGGAGGTTGATCACCTGACTCGGGTTGACTTGAGACATTAGTTCCAGCATTTCTAAAGATTGGGCTGGCAAAACCACTTTTCATTCCTTTATGGGCTGACAACATTGGCACTGCATGTGATTGACATGACGTAAGAGATGGGCACTCAGCTACATTTCCTTCCTTTAACTTCTTGAAAGGTTGTAAATGTGTACCATCACAGTGTGAGGGTGTCTGATCTGTTGTCTTTTTCAGTGAGGTCTTTATAATCAAATGTTTCTTATTGTTGGAAGTTGACTGCTCGGTCTGATTCTCTTTTGAATTTATGGAAGAAGGTGTTTTCTTTTCAGAGTTTCCATTTGTAACGCCTGAGCTGCCAAGTGGAGATGCCATTTTAGTGTCACTGGCCTTCTTGCAGCCATGGACTATATGCTCTTCAAAATCTGGTGGGACTAAAACTTCCTGAAAGAGAAATATCCAACGGTTGACATCCAGAAGTAAACTAAACTTAAATGTTCATTGACTTGCCCAAATCCAAAATCACAAACGCAAAATCCCTCTTGAATGAATTAGGTTACTATTATTTGATCACCTAAGCAATCCACAACTATGACCAAGCAAATTCCCTTGGCCCACCCCTAAGCCATCAATCAACATGAATGTCATATCATACATTAACCACCTTACATTCTTACAGCAACAATTATAATCAATTACACATTTTAATTACAAGAAAATACTATTGATCATAATGACAAGAGCATAATTGTGCAAATATAACTAGTACTGATGCAACAAAGAGCCTATATAAACTCTCTATAAGCAACTCAATGGAACACGATAAAATTATGTCCAAACACAGTCAAACTTTTCAATCCATGTCAAAAGTTACAAAACAACAACATTTCAATCCATGAAGACATATTGGGGGTGGGGAGCAAAACTCACTATCAATCTATGTATTATAATGATTTTGTTTGAGAATAATAGTCAAGCCAAATTATATTTTTCTCTTAAACAAAGGTCAATTCACTTCCCACTCACGCATTAAACATTTGGCAGTAGCTTGACATTGAAAGTGAACCTAATTCTAGGTTATAAGCTGTCGAAAATTCCATCCTGCAGTGCTCACCAAGATATGAAGTCATTACCATGACTCACAAGGTTCTATTGACTCTTCAATAGTACTAATACAAAAAGTTTAGGCATGAGTACAAAATTTAAAATAACAATATTTACTTTGAATGTGTTGAAAGAGGCCAAACATAAAATTCTGTCAACTATAACTTCAAAAGACACCAGACAGAGTTATTTATAATCATATGCCCTAGTTTTCTCGTGGCTGGAAAAGAAAATTGATTTTGTGTAATCCATTCAGGTCATTCTTTAACTAAGATTATACTTGCCTTGTGTTGCATGCACAACGTAGATAGGAAGGACATAATCCTTCTGTCACCTTCCTCTGGTGAGAGTATTTTCCGCTAGATCATACAAAAAACAACAGGAAACTTCTTTAAAACTACATGCAGATAACCATATCAGCAATCAGTGAACTTCAGCAAAAAATAACTTTTAGCGCAAAACGAAGAAGGCGATTGTCAACCGACGATAAACCACTACCAATCACCAAAATAAAATGACCATTTAACTCATAAATTGCACAAAACCTGAATCCCAATAAAAGAAAATGGCCATACCTGGGACGCACTAAACCATTTTCCAGCCTTCCATTCCATGTGAGGTCTTAACTCTGATTCACTGAGTACATTTGCCTTGTTTGTATGCTTAAAGAAGACCACGTACCTACTATCAGCAAGTTCTCTGGTAATTACTCCATTCCACCAGCCAAAATCAAAGAAAGCATCCACTTTCTCCAACAAAACAAAATTCTTATCCTTAAGAAGAGGAGGGGAGGGTCGGATATGAAGGTAATCAACAGTTATTTTCAGAAATGCAGCCCTATTAACCATCCCTGAGCTCTGGTACTCCACCAAGAAAGAGCCATTCCCAAAGTCTTCAAGGACGATTGCAGGGAACCACACATCACGATAATCTTCTCGGTTTAAAGACACTTCGACCTTTTTCCCCGGGCTAAACATCAATCCAGTCGTTCTCTTTTGAGAATTTCCAAAAACCAGATAAAATAATAGTCATGAATTAGCATACAATGCTATCATCAGCTCAATAAGTGAATTACTGCAATAAAAAATTAATCTACAAGCTTGAAGATTATTAAATTGAATGCGTGTTATGCAGTTATTCGTGAAATGGACATTATGTTAAAGAAAAAACAACAGAACAAATGACAGTTCTCCTCTGATTCTTCCTTCTTTTTTACTTTTGGTGGTTTTTTTATTATTATTATTTTTTTTGTCTTTGTTTTTTGTGTTTTTTTTTTTTTTTTTTGGGGGGGTTGTTCAGATGTTCCCACTGTGAGAATCTAAGAAGCACGGACACGGACACGCCAACACGAAATTTTTCAAAAAAGTAGGACACGGACACATTAGCGATACGTTAAATAATATGTATTTTATATATATATATATATAAAATCATGTGATAAAATAAAAATATTATCATAATAATCTTTTAATTCATTATTTTTCTAATTCTAAAAATTTACATCATGATATCATTGTATGAAAAGTATAATATAAAATATATTAATACATATACAATATTAACATCCATAATTCAATAATCAACGACTTCTACATCTTTTACTTTAAAAATATTTCATTTCGTAATACTAATTTTCATCAAATTCCAAGAGCTCCAATTTTGTAATCTCATTTTTTCTCACATTACTTTTATATTAAAAGACTATTCCATTTGTATATAAGTTCGTATTCATATCCAAAATTATATTATATTCATGTCCTATGTTCAATGTAATTATTATAACTTTTTTTATATTATGATTGTGACTCATATCCCTTTAAAATTATAAAAATAATTCCTAATTATAAAATTATCTGAAAAGTTCTCAAAAAAATTGAAAATAAATCTCAAAACCTGTCTTCCAGCGTGTCCCAACGTGTCCTGAACGTGTCGGCCACGTGTCCCAACGTGTCCTAAAAAAAATTTAATAATAAAAAAATAGGGCACTCATTTTAACGTGTCCGACACTCTGACCAAAATGAAGTGTCCGTGCTTCCTAGGTGAGAATGGTAGGTTGGTCATAAGAATATGATAAGCATTGTTTGGTTGCAGTTATCAAGAAAAAAAATTGCTTCTTCAAGCAAAAAGGTAGCACTTTTTGCTAAGAAACCAGAACCCTTCTCCTGAGCGCAGCCAGATGGTAGTCACAGAAAATACCCCCACAATTCCTCCCAAGCCTCCAAACCCCATTTCCTCAATTTGTACATTTATTGGTCCCTTTTATCACTTATGGGGCCACTAAATTTCATTAATCTGATAACTGTTTTAACCAGATAACCTCATCCTTCTTTTCTCTCCCTTCCCCCTTTCCAGTACATGCCACTTTCATTTCCCTGGGTTTCTCTCCGCACGTCTTTCTCTTTCCCTTTTTCTCAAAACTAATAACTATCTACTAACCCACTTCCCCTAACTAAAATCTTTGGACTTATGTCTCATTTTTTGTGGAAGTTCTCTTTTATTAGTTTTTCACAGGAACAGAGGTGGGTTTCGTTTTATCTATCTTCCAAATTTATTTATGCCTTTTTCTTCCTACCTCAAATTTCACACGCTCTCTGTCTCTTCATGGTTATTGTGTATGGTGGTTTTGCATGTTTATGTTGCTAATGTAGCCTCTATATCTGATTGCCCTCGCATATGATTTTATATATTGTGGTTCCTGGATTGCAGGTCATTGACAAATATATCAGTTGTCCCAAACGAGTTATCCAAATAAAAAAGTACACTGCTTCTCTTTCACTAGATTTTCATAGAAAAGAAGACGGGTATTTCTTGTAATTCCTGAAATGAATGATTTCTCAGAACTTACACTAAGATAATGCTTAAGAAAAATTAAAAGACACTATCCGTACATTAGGAATCAATGCATCCATCACAAGTTAATGAAGAAATATAATCAGTTAAGAGTATTAAGAATACTCACTTTGATTTGAATGCGAAAACACAAATAGAGTACCTATTTGTGTAGAGCATAAATAGAAATACCCCAAAACAGAAGAAATACCAAAAACAGAAGAAATACGACTGACCCGGACCAAGGACAAAGATTATACCTGCTTCTGGGGTCGAAACCATTTACCATTTACCCATTCCTGGTGGACCCTTAAATCAGACGCTCCAAATTCGATTTCGTCCGGTGGGTTCTGAAATGTCACCAAAAACCTACTGTTCCGGAACACCATAGTGATGACACCGGTCCACCAACCATCTCTGTAAAAAGCGTCAACAACGTCGTTGAGCTCGAAAGATCTAGTCGCAGCAGTCTCTGGAGGAGGCAACGGACGAATAAAGGACACATTCACATGCTCTCTCAAAGGCTTTGACCCATCTTCGTCTGCTAAAAGACTGTGGTACTCCAAATAGACTTTGGTGAAATTTTGGTTCTTTTTCTTGGAATTGGATCTAGAAGGCGGGTCAAGGATGGTGGCGACGTACCAGGCACCCCTGAAACCTTCTTCGTTGCTGGTAACTTCGACTTGTGAGCCTTTGGTGAATATCTGTAACACCTGAAGTCCCAAATTGGAACTACTCGTATCAGCAGCAGCAGCACCACCACCACCCATTTTGGTGCCTCTTTACTTTAGCCCATATGTTACCAATACCAAACCCTAGCTCCTTATTTTTTTCTTTCCATTTTCATTTTCCTTTTCCTTTTTTTTTTTCTTCCTTTCCTGCGCATATTACGTCACGCTGATGGTTGTACAGCATTTCGTCTTCTTTAAATCGAATTTTTATAGTTAGTTAAATTTCAATGATTGGTCTAAGACTATTTAGTATTTATTCTCCGGATTCAAACTTAATCGCCTCTCTTTTTTATAATAATAAAAAATCAAAAATGATATCTATGTGCTTCCTTCATTTTTCAAAAAAAATAACAATAATAACAATTTTAAACATCTCTAATCTGATTTGTTGTAACGGGATAAATGACCACGTTATCTTAATTTAAAAAAAAATTAGTATACTATAATTTTTTAACTTTTTTATTAAATTATAATAATTTTATAAAAAATAAAAATAAAAATATGGGTTGAATTCCTCATTTGAATCACAAAAGTATATTGTTGTTATTTCCATCAAATGTTAGGGAGGTAAAATTATTTAGACCAAATTATGAGGATATAAAAAGTAATTATTTTATACATGTAAGAGTCAATTTAAATGAGGCGTGGCTTGGAAAATATTCCTCCCAAGTACTAATGAACTGTTTTTTAATTTTAAATTATTTACTAAAAAAAAACTCTCATATCTCTCATCTTCCTCACCCAATCTGATATTGTATATAATCTGAATATATTAAGGAAGATAACATAATTTTTCTATCCATTAATTTTAAGAGGCGACCACCACGCGGGACTATAAGATAAGATAGGGTTATTACATCACTTGACTAGTAAAAAATAGTTTCTATAAAACTCTTGTGCGTACGATGGTTGTCTCTTTGACAACTAATGGATTATTGCATAGAAAGGTCAATAGTTAACCCTATATCAATATTAGTAAGTGGGTGGTTAGCCTAACATAGTCCACATTTGGTTGTAGCATTTGAATGGAAAAAACACTTCGTATTATATATAGTCTATATTCATTTTGTATATGTTTTTAATAATATGTCATATCCATACTCGCGAGCCAATTATATTACCATCTAAAAATACAGTATTATAATTCAGTTAAAGCGTATTATGTTATACATTTACTATTATGTCATCCAAAAACACGAATAACTATATTAACTTGATATTTTATTTGTCAATATAAATTTAGTACTTTATTAGCCTATTATTTCAATCTTAACTCAGTGTCTAACTAAATATTAGACTATAAAGGATAATATTTTTGTCACATATTTATAATATTTTCTTTTACAATATGATAACAAAGTTTAATGTATTTTTATATCTATATTACTTTAAAATGTCAAGATACATGAAAAACTTTATTTGGACTCTTTTATCCTTTAAAATTTTGAAAATGTCAAGATCATCATTAGAATTGGAAATGCCAAATACTTGTGACATTAATCATACAAATGGGTCATTAAAACTTTTGCTTGACTCAAATAATCCTAATAAAATGACTAATCCCCATACTTATTTTTAATAGATGATTTTTAATTCCTTAAATGGAAATTAAGTAGGTTGGCTATTGCGTTTTGTTACTATTTAAACTTAAACGACGCCCGCTTCACATATGATTGTCAGTCATTCACACCTTTCATTACCGCCATAAGTTATTGAGAAGCTAAAGAGCTACCTGGCTGTTATTGAGAAGCTAAAGAGGCAGAGCAGTGTAACTGTCAAACAAACCTCTTTGGAAAAACGTTGTATCACTTGCCCGAGTTTTTCATACTCTGACTCTCCTCCACCACCACCACCACCACCACCACCACCACCATCATCTCTTTGATTCCTTTTTCTAAAAGATTCATGCTTCTTCTGTGAGAACCAATTGATTGATTTTTCAGACCGTTATTCGTGTGATCTCAGTATCTCTCAGGTGGGTTTGACAATTATTAAAAGTGACTTCTTTTTGTTTTGTGTTTATCGAGCCTTTTGTGTCCAAGTGTTTGTTGCCCAATGCACAACTGTTGGTTCCCTTGCAATAATTGCGATTGAAATTTTATGTGCTTTTTCTTAGTATAGTGGGCGGGCGGGATTGGATTACATCAATCGGGTCAAATCAAATAGTGAAGTGGAGTGATAATCCCTTTGCAATGGTGCATAGGGATTTTGCAGGGCACTCCTTATACGGTGAGGAACTGTCGTTTTGTTGTAGCATCACATATTTTCAAGTATTTTTCCTTAAAACATGCCATCACAGGCAGTTGCTTCAAGAATTGCATTGTCCATAGGTTATCACTCCGTTTAGAAAATATCCATTTTGCAAGAAATTCTCAATTCAACAAGTTTAGAAAACAAGATTAACTTGATTGCTCCAATTAATTTCAATTCACATTTCTTATTTACTTTCCTATCTGTCACTCCATCTTTATCTGTTTCCATCTATCTCACTAACAAACACACTCCCATTCTTGATGATTGGATGCATGCATCTTTACTAAAATCATAAATAAACTCATCTGATTAGTTTTTCTCCGACATGATTTTAGATTTGAGATGTTTAATACCACACAAAAACTCAATATAAAGAAGTTTTACAATTATGCACTTGGCCTAAAAATGAGTTGCTCCCCCTTAATTTTTCAATTATCGCTGCTCTGGTATCATCTTGCTACTTTACTTCAGAAACAAACTATTTGCCCAGGTAGTAGTCCAGAGAAATAACTCTCTGCACTATCTCTTCTGCACTATCTCTTCATGCCAGTCAGTTCACTGGTTCTCTCTCATTCTATGCTTTATTGTGACGGGTTCACATATTATTTTCCGAAAAACATAAAAGCTATATTTTCTATATCGTACTTTGATTCTATCAAAATCATTCTCATGTTATTAAACTTTCTAATAAAAAATCATTCGATAGGTTTTTTTCCAAAATTATTGTAGTAAACATATCAGTTCTTAAACATGTTACTTTGATGCACTAACCACCTCTTTTTGATTTGGGTGGGAACATTTTTTTGGGTTTGAGTTATGTGTCATTAGATGAAATTAAAATTGATCTAGACCGTTGTTGTGCTAGGCTAAGTTGGGGGATTCAAAATAGGTTTTGTTTTATAAATATAGATTGTTTCACCATGCTTTCTTAAGCCGCCAACCCTGTAATTCATTTAAAGAATTTCTTTATTATTTTTATCGAGAATATAAAGTTTTGGGGGTTATCTGTTCTACTTCTTCACCTATTTTCCAAAGCTTCTTATCTTTCGCAATTGCCTTTAAATCCAGCTATGAATGAAGACTTTGTCAGAGCACAAAAGGGGGAAATGAAATATAGAGAGATATTGTACACTTTGCGAGGATAGCACAATCATGATTCTTTCTTGGCCGGTAAACGAGACTGCTCTTTCCTACTCTTGTGACGAAAAGGTTTCCAAGTTTCATTCAATTATTAGAATATATATATATATATTTGACGTTAATTGTTCGTTGTTTTGTAATAATAATTATGAAGTTCCTTGCATTTTTTACTCAAATTTATTGGTGAGATCTTTATTTGATGTTAATCTATTTTGTAAGGGTGCATGAAATTCAGATTTGGTTTTAGTTCTATAACAACAACCACATATTATTGTCATTTGTTGAGATTGAACTAAAATAAAAAATCGTGTAGGTATGTATGAGTTAAACTTTAGGTGTTAATTATGGGTTTTATGATCACAAATTTACAATTATTCATTAAAGTCAAAGACGAAATACCTAAAAATGAAGTTCACAGAAAATACATCGGTTGCATATATAACTTGATTCTTTGTTAGTGAGATTCAGACTACCACTATGTTAGTATATAAATGGTTTCAAAATAAATAATTTATTAAAAACAATGTTGAACTGTTCTTTATTTTATTTTATTTTTTTGGGATCAGAATCGGTAGTTTACTTTATTGAATTGGAGAGGCAAAAAAGGCCTTAGATTTCTTTGCCACCCTATATGCAATTCATTTATGTAGAGGGTTGGCCTTCATCAATAACATGGTGATTAAGTTTTAGGCTTGTGAAGATAATGTTGTTAGGAGGATATTTGTGCATAAGACGCGGGCTGTGAGTAATTTCCATCATGAGATACCATCCAAGACAGTAATTTTTTTTTAACAAAATGATCCTTATAGGTGAAACAGAATGCTATATATTGTGTGCTTATATAAGGTCTCATGTTCTTTCCCTCTTGGTTATTTTCTCACCCTCCATGTTTTGGGTCAAGATCTCACTTCGCCGTCTCTTGCTTACTACTCTTTTCTTACTCAAATATTTGCGTCTGATTATGTGACTTTTTTGCTCATCTGTTCTCTACATTTTGTGCAACAACACTTGCTTTCATGCTCTGTGGTAGGGATTTATGCTTGAACTTGAATTTACAATATTGCCTTCTGGATTTTGGTTTGTCTTTTTATCAAGTATTTCAGTGTATTCTCTAGAATGGAAGTTTTCCCCAGCCCTGGTAATCCTATAGGTGAACCCATTTTTGTGGAATGCTTCTAATCTTTCAACTGGCTGATTTGGCATTTGTGTTCAAATCATATTGGACACGTTTGCACCAGTAGTTGGTCAACATTTTGGTTGTTTAATTTCTTGGTAGCATATGTATCAATAATATTGTCAATGATGCCTCATTCTATGTTGCGTTTTCATAATTTCCATAGCAAATAACATTAGCTTTTGTTTTTTTGTGGACAATTTTAGATATTATAGCGAATACATTAAGCATAGGTACATGAGATTTCAATAGACTTCAGTTAAACTGATTTTGTGCCTATCTCTCCCTTCAGGAATAACCTTTTCTTTGGGAGGGGGCGGGGATGGATAGGTTTTTGCTATTAAAGGTGGAAGTTGAGAAAGATAAGACTTATTATCTATGTTTTCAATCCATCAATCATTATTTTCAATTTTTATATGTGTCTGATTATGAGAGTAATGTTATCCCGTTGAGAAATGATATTGATTAAAATAATTTATCAAATATTATTACTTTTTAGTTAGTTTAAATATTTTTCTGTGCGAATAATTCGCACACTATATACAACATAATATTCTTAATCTTCAATTTTTTTTTTGCTCTAATTTCTTCACAATAGTTTGCTATAATGTTTTTGAGTTTCTCATAAAAACATCGTTGATGTAATGTAAAACGTAAAAGGATGGAGTTAGTGGCTAATTCTCATTGTTTGTCAATCAAGAAGGAAAAAAAAATTATTTGTTGATAGTCGTTTTAAATTACTATTGATGTTGTTCAATGTTTGGGGAGACAACATGCATACTAGAAAAAAGGTTCATGGATTTGGAGGAAATTAACATCCTATTCGTTGGCCAATTTAAGCCCAAGGATCTTAGGGGAGTGGACTGGAAGATTATTAAGAACTAAGCAGTCAAGCTCGGTTTGCATGGAGTAAGAGGAATGTAAAAAGCTTTGACAATCACCATAAAGATGTAGCAACTCTCAAGCAAACGACTACTCCTTAGAACAACACAATTTTACGAGTTTGAAAGGTTTCTTTGCCTATAACTAATATCAGTCTTTTAACATTTGGGTAAAGGTATTTTGCAACATGATAATCATTATATCTCATTGGATACAATACTTCTTCTTATGGTAGACAGCAAGAGTTCAACATGTACTTGAAAGATTGGAAAAAAACACTAAGCGTAGGCAAGCATGAATTGTATTAGTGTATATTAGGTCACTAATTTTTATATATATGGTTAAGGGCCACTTTTTTTTTATAAATATATATCTGAATAATAATATATTTGACAATTTTTACTTGAATCAGGATAAAATAGATGAGCGAGTTCATGAATTGGAAAAAAGAAGCGTCACGGGTTCCTACATCACAACATTTGATTGAAGAGTCAAAGGAAACTTTGTTTGCTGACTTTATATAGACTCACCTTTCGCTCATCTCTTGAGAAGTCTCAAGCAAGGGCCTCCTAGCAATAGATTTGAGATGAGGTAGGTGACAGCCGACAGGCTTACTATTATTGGATTTGGACCTTCAAGTGATGTAAATTTAAGGTCAAGATCATATGCTCCGACTCTTTCATGATCATTTTTCAAAAATACCAGACGCCCCTTCAAATTTCCATTATTCATTCCCAGACGCCCCTGAATTTTCCCAAATAACCAATCCGACTCTTCCTCTTTATATCCTTATCGACCTTGGACGCTCGTAGTCCGATATTCATCTCTAACAACAGAGTAACTATGGCGTCCTTGACAACAACCGGCTTGTCCAAAAACCCATACTCATACTTCCCAAAAATCCCAAACAAATCCCACAAATCTCCATCATTCGTATTCTTCCAAGAACACAGAAGATTGGTTCCTCAGAAATTGACCGTTGTGGTTGTTAAAGCCTCGGCCAGTGGGTCTCCGGGACTCTACTCTGCCCAGAAATTCGAGCTCACACCCGAGAACGTCGATTATGTACTAGAAGACGTTCGACCTTACCTGATCTCCGATGGTGGAAACGTCGACGTTGTATCTGTTGAAAGCGGTGTTATCTCCCTCAAGCTTCAAGGTATGTCTGTTTCTTTGGCTCTTCCTCCTTTGTACTCTTAATTGCATCAAATCGATTATTCCCTTCCCTTTACCAAGAATTGACAGGTTTAATTTGGGTTTTTTCTTTCCTTCATTCACAATTACATAAATGTCTTCACCCGCATATATCTTTATCCGGGTAATTGGTGAAGACGGTTCTTTGTCTTCCATGAAAAATGGCAGGTTGAATTTTGCAGTGAAAACGAAACTTGTGTGTTGGTTTGATTGACGGAACGGAAGTATTTTTGTAGCCGGGTTTTGCTGTCTTATGCATTTAAAAAGGATGGATAGGAGAGAAAGTAAAGTACAATATGGCTACTCTTTTTTTTTTTTTGTCATTCTGATGTGCATTAGCTGCCCATGACAAAATTCTAAATCCTAGCTATTCAAACCAATTACAATAGCTTCTTGGAATGGAAGTTGAAACTTCGTTGTCTCTCAATTCTGATTTTGAATGTTTTGAAGTCGGTATGTGAATGTGAGTGCATATACATTAAATATCTTAAGTCTTGGGAATTGTAACATATCGTGGACATAAACATGAATGATCTGGTGTTTCTCAACCCTAGACGGCTTGTCCAATGTAGAACATGAGTAGGAAGAAGAGCACTTATTAGTATGACTACATAAGATTTCGAGTTCTATTTTCCAACTACCTCTGGAAAAATCATATCTTGCAGCCAAGGAATCCAAACTTCATTTAGATGGCGAGTTTATCAGTCAGGTACGTTTCTGTGATAAACATAGATGACCAGCAAGGTTAGCCTATATGAAGTTTTTCACTCTCTTCCCATACTTCGCCTGCAATGGCAAAGATAATTGCTATTCTCTGGTTACTACATGAAAGTGAAAACTATTGAAATATAGGAAAAATCTGAAGAGAAAAAAGTGTGTAAGTCTAGTTCTTGTGCTGGATAATTGTCACCTGCATTCCTTTATGGAGTGTTTGGGATGAAGGATTATTCATTGCATACTTATATACACAAATAGATACATGATGCATAAATGCATGTGAACACAAGCTAAAACTTTTAGACTACCAGTTCTAAGTTCCTTTCCCCCACCTTTTCATGGAGCTTGGTCCATTCCCTGAACATCAACAAAATTAGTAACTTTAGTTAAGACAACCAAAATTAGAGAAGTCTCTTCGTTTTTTTTTTTACCTGTGTTTCCAATTTTCGTTGCACACACTCATTATACTGTTTCATCATCCTGAGGCATCACTGTTATTGGATGGATAACCAGGAGCATGTGGGAGCTGTCCTAGCTCGACCACCACCATGAAGATGGGCATTGAAAGAGTACTGAAGGAAAAATTTGGGGACGCAGTAAAGGATATTCGCCAAGTATACGATGATGGCATTAGTGAGACAACTGTTGAGGTTAGTTTTCTACTAACATGAGCTGTTAAGGAAATGATAAACAATTTAAAGTGACTTTAGTTTGTTTGAGGGTTGATGATGATGGTAAAGTTCTGTACAACTGCAGGCAGTGAACAGTCATCTTGACATATTGAGACCAGCCATTAAGAACTATGGTGGAGGCGTGGAAGTATTATCTGTTGAGGGTGGTGATTGCCGTGTAAAGTATGTTGGACCCGAGTCTATTGGAACAGGAATTAAAGCAGCAATCAAGGAGAAGTTCCCAGACATTGTGAATGTTTTGTTTACTGGCTAGGAGGGATTCTCTGGCAATTCAAATGAGAAGGAGATTTTCATTTGACATATGATGAAGCTTAAAACCCAAAATTTTAGTACAATCACTTTAAACGTATGCTGAAGTGTATATATGTATGTTCTGAATTGCCAATGTGATCTTTGATTCCCTTTATTCGATAAATGATGTTACTTTATATAGTCTTTTGTGAGAGATTCATCTCAGAAGATTATAAACTGTTAGCATCTTGATAAGCAGTCATTACCCCAACGGCTACTTCTGACTGAAATGATCAAATTATATAAGCATTTCGCGAGTAATTTGGGTAACTTTCAACCTGCTGACTTTATGATATTCCAACTATTGGCCTTGAGTGTCTGCAAATGTTAGAACTTTGAACAACTCATGTAGAGGCCGCTACCACTATGGTTGTTCTATTTATAATGCATCATGTTGATAAAACTCAACTAGGTACATCGAGAATTCGTTTAGATTGAGTCAATTCATCAAACTTCCACTTGAGTTATAGAATCACTTCTGACATATGTCTAGGCAGACTTCCCATCAGTAGCTGCAGCAGTGACAAAGTCTTTGATCCAACGTGACAAATTAATCAAGAATGGCGTGTAAACAAAATAACAGGTAATCGTCCAAGTGACAAATCCCTGCATGCAACAAAAAACACTCAGATTTCTCTGAAAAGACCAACAAATAGCTTCAAGATAGAGGTTCTTGGTGCTGTTTTTGTAAGTCACCTGGCCAAAGATCTCAATGTTAGCTTGGGGATAGTACCATAGATGGAAAAACCTGAATATGAAAATGAGAAAGATCAACTGACACCTATGATTTCTTCAATTAAATGATTGTTTCCGATTTCATTAAGGAAGAAGAGAGTCGAGACTGCCTTACTTCATTATTGGAATCTCAGCCAGTGGGCAACCAAGGCCTATGGCACTAGCTAGTGCAAAACCGAACCAGGTTCTATCCAGTAACAACCATATGAATTCAGCCCCAGCAAACAATATGTAGGCTTCAATGTTGTATGGTACTCCAGCTTGGTACAATGCAGCACTTAATTGAATAAATAGCACCAATGCTCTGAGTTACATGAAACTATACAAGTCAGAACATGCCTATTAATAGGAAGAAACTGTTACATTGTGAATGTTCCAGCATTGTTAGTGTCGTCCGTCCATGATTTTCTTTAGAAATTCAGCACATTTCATGGAACTAATGGTTTCATTGTGCGTTAGTTTGTTTTAGGTGTTGTGACTTCTTTGGATACTCACATTAGTGATGCGGCAGTTTTCTCTGGGCTTCCCTGGGGAACATTGGAAGAGACCTTTTCATCCAAAAAGAGTTGCAGCAATCCAACAGTGCAGTAAAACAATGCAAGCAAGGGAGGAACCTACCAATATCAATATCAAGATTCAATAACTACCTCAAGTCAAGCAAAAAACCACAATTCACCTAAGAAATGAGGAACACACTTCACGAGGAGCCGGGAATGGTAACAAGGAAATATATCTCACCCAGATATTCGTGTGAAGAGGACCGATATCAATTGCCCCATTTTGGTATACCACAAGATTTACCCTGGAATGAAGTCCATCAATAAGGGGACCCAAGAAGAAACCAGAGGCAAGAAGTGAGAGAGAGATCGATGGCCAAGTGTTTCTGAGACTTGCTTTGCTCTGCTTTCTTAGACAGCAATATGGTTTGGAGACACCTTGTTTAAAGTTGGGAAGGCGAGGGGAATTGGGATTCAGAAATCGGAAGGAGACCAATTGAGCAAGAGTTTGCATGTTTTTTACCTGGAAGACCCAACTCCTCACATCTCAAGTCATCTGAATTTATCAATACAGTTAGGTTAGGAAGCATCGGTTGATTGAAGACTGTATTTTGTGCAGTGTAAAATAATAAAAGGGTAAATTACATCCACCTCCCTTAAGTTTGGTCAAATAACAATTAGACTCCCTCTTGTTAGGAAAATAACACCGACCTCACCTGTCAGTCACTTCCGTCTTAGTCTAATAGAAGTTATGAACGACAAAAATACCCTTTAGTTAAAAAAATATATGTTTCATGTTGTAGGGTTAATTTTTGTTAATTCCACTATAAACCAATCTCAAAATACCATATCATCACCTTGTTTTTTTTGCTCTATTTCAAGAACACAAATAGTGCCAACGACGCCACTGCCAACACAACACCACTGCCAACCTAGCCACTTCTGCATCAAATTTTTGGACAATTTTTCCTTGTAGCAAGACACATAGTCAAAAAACCATCACAACAAAATCACATAAAGGCATACGAGCTGTGAAAGCAAAAATCACCATGTCTTTGTATCCTCTATCTAATTTCTGTTGAAATGGAAAAATCACAAACGTCGACAATGATAGTTGTGGTTTCCATCGATGGTAGGGGTTGCGATTTAGCCTTTAGGTCTTAGATTTTGATTATAGGAGAGAGAGAGAGAGAGAGAAGCTGGGGATTGGGCTCTATTGTGGGAGTTTGATGATGGGTGCCAAGGTGGTTTAGTCAAAGAGTAGGCAATAATAGTTATGGTGGTAAAGGAAGAGACAGTGGCGACGGCAGGGGAGGTTCTTGTGTGCGTGTGAGAGGGAGAGAGAGAGAGAAAAAAATAGAGATAAAGGAGAAGGCATTGGCGACTAGAGAGACACTAAAGCCACGATGGGTGTTGATACAATGGGGATAAATTAATGATTTTTGTTTAAAAACTAGCTTAATCTGAATCTAAGGTGAAAATTTTATGTTTGGAAATATATGTAGTATGTTAAAGGGTAAAAATGGTATTTTGAGAATATAAATTGATTATTTCATCAGAAGTTAACTATTTTTTGATGGAATAATAACGGGAGGGGGAATTTTTTACCTAAAACTGAAGGAGTACAGCGTTATTATTCAAACAAGAGGGGATATAATTATTATTTGACTAAACCTTAGATGTAATTTACACAATAATAAAATCACTTCCTCGCCAATCCTCAACCACAAAAGTGCATCCGAGCTTTAGTGACGGCTGTTTTCCCACATGTTCAACAGAATAACTACACAATGATGTGTATTTCTCCTCTCTTTTTCCATTCAGCTGATGCCTCTCATTCATAGGCCTGGTTTTAAACAACGTCGTTTTACAGATAAATTTGTTGTCTTTGTAAAACAGTATTATTTTGTAGAACAACTCTACTAGTTTTGTGGAACGTTTCCTCTGCAAGCAGAAGAGGAGCTTATCCCTTCCCTTCTCCATTTGTTTCATTCTTGCCGCCACAGCTTGAATCTTACTTTCAGAATTATTCGTCCAGATACTCTCAGAAATATGATATTAATAAGGCTAGTATTTACATTAGATGACCCAGACCCATAGACCCATCGTACATCAGCAACAAACACCTCCACCCCAAATACATTTTCCTTGTACAAACAGGAACCCAGCATCTGAGCCAGATTTAGAAGGTGGAAAAATTACGGCTCTCCAGTTCTGGTGCTTCTTCCTACAACAAATTCATCAGAGCACGCCACTAGAGATATTGATACCCAGGATTACAATTCTAACAGTGGATCCACGCATAGGAGCCTCATCTTCTATTAATTGTAACATCCTTAAGAGACCTAAGACTATGATGAATTAAGATACCCTCAGCCTGCTATTTAATTGAGCCCACAACAAGGCCTCGAAATCTGGATAGCAACCTGCAGCTAGTGCCACAAAGAAAACAAAAAACGTGCTTTAATTACATAAATTACTCATACTCGGTTCGTAATAAAAATCAATCATCCAAAGCATCAGACTTGTAATCTGAGTAATGGGTTTGGGTAACACAAGTTTTAAGATCATATTAGTTTGTTTTTTAAAGAAAATTTCATGCTAGGTTTAATCAGGATGATTACCCACCAATTTATCCATCTGAAGCCTTAAGCTTTCGAGGCCTTTTATTAGATTGAGCTGGTGATGATGGAGCATCTGGTAATCTTCCAGGTACCTTGACAGCCAAGATCATAAAGAGAGAAAAACACCACTATAAGGGTCTGTGGAAAAGTAAATCAACAAATAATGATTCTGACAACGACGTAACCAACGCAAGCAATGGCTTTTACCTTGCGCTTCTGGTCTCTTTTACCAACTCTGTCCCCTGAATTTCCAGTTAAACATAAAATCTCAGTGAAACATAAAGGCTGGCAAATGTCACCCTAAAACTGGATATAATAAATGGAAGGCAACATTTAAACATTCATTATCACTTATTACCTCCAAAACTTAAGGAGTCAGGAATGAATGTTCGATCCTGATCCATGCCACGCTGTGCACGCTGCCAAAAAATAAGCACCAGACTTTTATGTGCATAAAAGGCGAGTAGGGAGGCCATGAAACACATTTCATACAAAAATTTCAATGTTATATAGTATGTACAAAATATTTAGTTAAACACCTTACCTTGGGTGTGCCTGGTGTTTCAGCATACGAACCATCACGATAAGATGAACCTTCAGCCTCCTTATATTGCAACTGATTATCAAACATACAACAACCATGAGAACATGTCAAAAATATTCCACAGTTAAAACAATTAGAAGCCTCTAGCTAACATTAATTGTTACGTGGCCAGTTTTTCCATTGGCAACTGAATATGGCACACGTACTAGTTTTTTGTCCAGATGAAGCAGCAAAATCTTGTCTTTATTCCACAGAAAATTCCTAATACATGCTATTCTAATTCTTGTCCGACTGGCTATTTCTGTTTCTATATTTTGCACAAAATACGAGAAATTGCAAATTTGCATGACAACTAACATTGTAGATCTAATCACACTTCACACCCATAAATGCATTATTCACATATTTCTTTTATTCCAAGAGAAAAGTGGAAAGGAGCGACGGCTTTATATTAAGCCGGGCTAACCTCATACACAGGGATATGACGAAATAATAAATTATAAAGTTGGCATGCCCATGAATGCTCTCTATCAAGACTTGACCAAATTTGCTCCACATTTCAATTAGGATACAGCAAATTAAAAGATGAACTTATATTATTCATGTTATCCCTGGTCCTCTTCTACCTTGTTGAAAATTTTAAGGGGCTCAGGAAACACAATAAAGGAATCACACTTTGGAATTGCGTAATTTTCGATACGGTTTGGGTTATTTGGTTGGAAAGAAATGCTCAGCTTTTTTAAGATAAGAGGGAGGTGGTTAAAGGTTTATGGAACCATATCTTCTTTTTGGCATCTTTTTGGGCCGCAATCACTATAGATTTTCAAGGCACTCCACTTTTTTTGTATCTTGGTTGGATGGAGAGCTACTTGTGATTTGTAGTCTTGGATATCCCCAGTTGACAACCCTTAGACTTTGCATTTATTCATTGTTTATTGTATTTTGTCTTAATTAGGTTGGACTTCTTGTCCACCCTCTTTTGATTGATGTACAGATTCTTAGTAATGAAGTGTTTGTTTCTTATAAAAAAAAAAAAAATTCCAGGTTGAAATATGTCAATGACTTCACAAAAGGACTAATTGGTTTCTGGGAACGCTTGTGAGACATAACATAAACTTTAGCAACACAATTGAGGGCACGTCACCACATTAGCTAACCATGCCCTGAAAGGTAACTCCCAAAAAAGCCAGTCTCACTGGCAAAGCATATATAATGTATTTATCAGTCAGTATGATATTATAATCAAACTGCAGATACTTCACAACCAAATACTTGAAATAAAAAGAAGAGAAATTTAAAGAGATGGTAAAATACTACAGTTTTTTGGCATTGTGTAAATGCAAAGACAATATAAACTACATAATCTATGATAAAAAAAAAACTACATAATCAAACTTCTTTTAAAAATAGTATACAGAAAACTGTGACATTTTTGCCCAGCAAATGAAATCTCAAGTAGACATAAAATGCAAAGTACAGATAGATGGAAGTGATAAAAAATTGAAAATAAATCTTAAACAAAACTACCTGTTTCTGGAGATTCAGTAGAGTGAGTATTTCTTTTCTCAGCTCAAGATGCTCTGCACAAACAGCTTTAGTTGGAACCTTCGGCTTCAAATTAACCTGTAAAAGGTCATGGCTCTTCACTCTATCTTAGAACTTATGGAAATAAATGTATACGTGAAGAAAGTAATTTAGAAGCTCCAGTGAACACCATTTTCTTAAATGTAAAAACATCTTCTTTGGACAGCATACTTCCAAAAATCATAGATCTATGTATGCCAACGTAGAAATTAAAGGCAAAAATTTATTCCAATATACTCTCCCTCAATTGCTTCGTGTACCATCTTGGTTCCATTGAATGTCAGTTGAATTGACTGCTCAGTAAGTGAACTACCACTAGGAAGCACGGATACGGACACAGGTGTTGTATCCGATACAATACGGACACGGGAATACGACAAAGTTAAAAAATATGAGATACGGGTACGGCAAGGATACGGCTATTAAAATAATATAATATATTTTTTAAATAATAATAGAGTTGTAATATATTAAAAATAAAGCATATATTATAACAATATTAATAATAAGACCTAGCAACTATTATTTTTTTGATTAAAATTGAAATAGATCAAATTAAATATCCACTATTTTCATCAAACATCATTGAATCTATTAACATTCATAATATATAAGTTACTTAACAAAAATATATTACAAAAAGTAAATTTTTATTAGTTAAAAGTTTTTTTTTTTAATAAAAAAATTATTGGTCATGTCCTGATCGTATTCTAGACATATCCTGGCCTCGTCTTGTTCGTGTCCGATTGAGTTCACTATTTAGGACATTTCTAACCATGTCGGCCACGTGTCCGGCCGTGTCCTAGCCGTATCCGTGTCGGACACGTGTGTCAGATACTACCATAGCACCCCGTGGGAAGTATCCGTGCCTCCTAGGTGAACTATAATGCCACAAATAACATATTGTTAAAAAGTCTTCATGGTGCTAAAGAGCCCGAGATGACATTTTAAGATAAATTGAATTTGAAACCCAAAGATCTGAAAAATTCCCCATATTGTACAGTATTAGCTATAATTCCCCCAAGCTATAAAGGTTCACCCCCTAGATTTTTTCGAAATTTTGGAAACAACCTCCTACATAATTTTGTCCCGCATAGGCTACTTTCTGGATCCATTCTTGCTTAACTCATAAGGATAGCTTATTGTTATGGTGTTATAGACATTAAGCACATATAGGAAAAAGACTAGGAAATTGCAATTTTAGCATGCCATCAGAAGAGTATATAACATTGCATCAATAGTTGAGGGAGAAAAAACAAACCCCAAGATCCTGTAAAGTTTGCTCAACCCTCTTGATAGTCCGGAGTCCAGCCGATGAGCTTGCAGCTTGCACCATTTGCTCAAGTGCATATGTCCTCAAGTATACACGAAGCTGAAAACTAACTCGGTTAGTAAGGAAACTAAAAATTCTTAGACCAATTATATTACCGTGTTATTATACTAATAACATTCAGGAGGAAGACTATCACCATCTGAATGTGCAAATACTACACATGGAAAGACAGGGCTATACACATTCAAAACAAATAGCTTCAAATGACTTGAGCCTAGTCAACATACCCAAAATTAGGAAGGAAAAACGCAAATCATATAAAAAAAAAAAGAAGCAAAAATGCGAGGAAACCGATGGCAGCAAATTTGTTCTGGGGCATTAAAACTGTAAAGAATGTCGGTTATTGAACCTACCATGCGAAGAGAAGCTGAAGTAGAGGCACTCTCTGCAACAATTGCAGAGGGAAATGGAAGATTGGAAGATGGTGATACAAAATCAACTGGAATTATAGCCCTCTCATCACCTTCTGGACCAACATTTGGCGTGATTGGCAACTCGGGCTCTTCAGCAGCCTGACAAATAGAAAATAAAGGACCTAACATACATTTTAAAAGTATGACATAAATACACGCATATATACCAACTAAGAAACAGCTAACTGAAACAAAAAAACCATTCATTCCCCAATTATGCAAGAGACAGATTAGTGAAAAGCAGATCCCATTAACTTCTTGAAAAAATTCCTAAAAGATGTAGTTCTCTACAACAGCTTAATTTAGAAAAAATGGCTCCACAACTACATGGATATTTCTATCTCCAGCAAATCAATCCTACCAGAAAAAAACCAAAAAAATAATAATAATAATAAATAAAACTGAGGTTGACAACAATATCAAGGTCTTATGGAAACTCTACCCAAACGCAATGCTTCACTTCAGAATTTTTGTGACACCGTAGTTAAATCATATATCATCAATGTGCTGTTGGACTATGATAGACAATAGACCTCTCTTCCCAATCAGTTATCCAATCAATCAACAGGAAATTTCTCGTGTAGATAGGTGCATACCACAACAAGTGAGACCTTTGACAGCAATATTAGAAATTTCAGTCCCACAAAAGCCATAAATGATCAAGCAGCAAAAACAATCTGATCCAGATCATAATTGCAAGGCAAAGAATGGAGCGATGATGTCCATTGGAAGCAGAAGCACGAAGCAAGAGTACAGATAATCAACTGAAAATAAATAGTGAATTGGGTGCATCAGCGTACTGAATGTTGAAATGGAAACACTTACACACAGCATAAATAAACCAGTCCAAAAGTCTGGTGTCAGTTTTTTTGCTCGACAAAATAAATGTGAGATTATGATAATTGCAAAATGCGTTTTCACAAAAAAAAATAACACAAATAGGTGATTTAAAATAGTAAACTGTACAATTGCAACTCTACTAAAAGCAAAACACCACAATTCATGCTCCCATACTCTAGGATGCATCCAGCAACTATGATCCTCAATATCCTACAATCCAATGCATGGAGTGCTGACAGAAATAATTGACAAAAGGAGTGATAGCAGATGCCAAAAAATGGCAATAGTTCCCTTTAATGAAAGCTCATAGGCTGTTACTGCAGAGCCATTGGATGATAGAAAACAGAATCGTATATAATCCACACAAGCACATCTCTCCTTAAATCTGTAATTGAGAATGGCCCAAATTATCTAACAAAATGCGGATGTAATAAAAAAAACCAGCCTATCCAATACAAAACTTACCCTTGCAGCCATCCGAGACTCGGATATTCTCTTTGCTTCAGCAAGAACCTGGAGAAACCAGAAATTACATGAAACAGAAATGCAAGAAGATATCAGAATGCCTTGTTTACTGAGAGATATAAAAGCACAGTTCTAACCTCAGCATCTCTGCGCTCTTGCTGCTTTGTCTGAGAGAGAACCATGGACAATGCGCGCTTGCGTTCAATCTCTTGTGACATGTTATATGGTTCCTAAATGAAGGTAAAAAATTTTGAACAAAAAAAAGGTTAAGGGCACAACAATTAATTTCCTGACCAGAAAGGGGGGTAGCTAGTACATGATTATTTAAAAGATTTAAAGACTAGCAAATAGAGCCAGAGGATGGGGTATATTAACACAAAATTTCACTTGTAATGACACCACACCTTAAGAAGAGGATGCCCAGAAACATCACCAGGTGATGAAGCCCTTGCATTCAAGACAGCTCTTGAAACTACACATAAAGAAGGCCAGATTAATCAGGACAACAATCATAAACTGTCCAACCTCGACTGTCTATTACACACATTTGATAAACTGAGCATTTCTACCACAAGAAAATTGTTAACAACACAAATGAGAAGACAAGATTTAGCAACAAAAAGATAGATAATGTACCACTATAATAACGGTTTTTAAGCTCCTCAACACTTCGAGATGATGGAAACCTATCAGCAATAATAATGAATCGGAGATCGAACCGTTCACACAAAGCAAACAGTTGATCTGTCTCTTCCTTAGTCCACACCTAACAAAAATGAAAGACAAAGATAGAGGAGACATATAGGCTCATGAGACCAAGCCAAACGGAGATTCAAAACTTTTATGTAAGATAAACTATGTTAAACAGCATCAAATTTCTAATAACATCCTTCCATGTTTAACTAATGTCATATTTGAAATTGGTTGATGCAATCACTAGGAATACGACATAGTTGTCAAATTTCATATCGGAAGGTATATCATTTTTCAAAAATAGTGTATTATATCGTATATCGTAAGATACGCGCAATTTTAAATAATTATTAATAAAATATATATATACCTTTGTAAAAAAGTCATAAACTTATAATAACATAACATTGCATTAATATTTCACCAACTACTCAAATTCTCAACATAGTTGAGTAATATCAATATGCAAAAACCTCTAATTCAAGCTTCTAATATCAACTGCTTGAACAACCTTCACATTAATCAGGAATTTTGATTTAATTTAACAACATTAATAGCATACTTTATTTTTTTTAAAACCAAAACCACTGAAACGATGTTGTTTCACTGGCTAGTGATTTGAAAATAAGTCTTGAGGTGAAATGATGTCATTTTACCCCCAAAAAACCAAAAAAAAACAACAACAAAATATTCACGTATTGTACGATAGGTGCAAAAATAATACAGAGATACAATACGTATCGTTTTTTAAGTGTATCGTGATGTATCGTACTACACCTGATATGTATCGTACAATACTAATAACTATGAAATACAATAAAGCATACATTAGCAATAGTTTTGAACCCTATTGTTTCTTGCGTATATTAAAAAACACTATTTTTCATACATTTCCCAGCAGACCAGGGCAATCATGACTATCTCAGAAGTCTACCTGCAGTTAAATTCTCAAAAAATGAAAAAAGAAAAACAGAACAAAATAAAAAGTTGATACCTACAGGATCAATCAGATATTTTTCATACTCCTCATCAGAGTACTTGATCACATCAACAGACTGCATGGCATTGATAAATACATTCAGTTATATGAATAATCAAAGTGAACAACAATGACATATAAATGAAACAGAAACAATAGTTAGAGGAGTACAATTAGGTGGGGGACATGAAAAAAAATATATTTCAAGCAAAAAAATCATGGTCCATGTAAACTAGACAGAAATTAAAGTATACCTTGTTATACTTGGCAAAGGAGTAGTCACCCGTTGGCGGAACACCATTTACCACTCTGACCTACAAAGCATATGAGTCACAAAAATTCTTTAGAGATTCCCAATAAGTACTGTAAGTATACCATGCAAAGGTGGGGAAACATACCCAGTGGTAAAGTTGTAAGTTATCTTTTCGAGCAGAATTTGTAAAAGGAAGCCATTGCCAGGTAATCTGCATGGGGAGTCTCCAAAATATCAGTTTAACCAGGTTCTTTACATACAGATAGTTAGGTAGGAAAAAAAAAAGAGGTTCATTCATTCACAGCAAATAATTGATAACAAGTCATAAGGAAAGATAGCTCAAACTAAGGTTGCAGATATTTGTTTACAAAGCAACACTAAATATTGTAAAAAACCTCTAGTTTTGCACAATCTTTTGAAATGTTAAGCCAAAAGGGAATGGAACTTTAACTGTCCTAAAACCTAATTTAACCAAAACCGCCTTCATGCAATTCTTAACCCTAAGTTATCTGCTAATTCAAAACAGTCTCGCAAAGAATTGATAAAGTTTGGAGGGCCTTTACAATAACTGACCTTCTCGTTCTCTGATTGAAATCGCCGTTTCAATTGATTGACATCAATCGAGGGCATGAGAGGAGCCAAACCACCTGTAAGCGCATATACCTATAGTTCCACCAGTAGGTCAAAAGTTCAAGGGAATCAGAACATATACAAGCAATACGACAACTAGAAAATCTAATGGGATGTAGTGAGCAAAACCTCGCGCGAAATGCCATCCGGTTTTCTCTGAGGTTCTTTCTGAGGTCTGGACTTCTTTTCTTGTGGAATGGACAACGGAGTTTTGGGCAAACCCAAGATGTCCTTCGCATCCATCTGATATCCACCACAAATTAGGGTTTTTCTTCTTGTCTGTAGGTTTACGGATCAAAAACGACCTCTACATCACCCAGCGCCGGCTAAAAAATTAGGGTTTTTTTTTTGGGAAGGAAAAAAAAGGTACACAGTTTTAATATATACTTAAGGATGAAGAAGATGAAGATCTGTGTGAGTCGAAGATCTGAGAATCTGAGTAGTTGGAGTCTTCGATTGAGTGATGTACTATTGTGCTGAGTTGCTGAGTGCAGCGACCAGCGAGTGAGCGCGCGCGAGAGAGAGATGAGCAACCTGTGAGGACCAGTCGGCGTCGAGGAAAAGCAGAGGAGGGCAAAGGCAAACAGAACAACGGTGAACTGAAATTTGGGCAAAGATACCCTTGAACCTGCTTTTTATTCCATTTGAGTTAAATGTCGGTTGGCCTAAACCGTCCGGTTTGGCGAGTTTGTTACAAACAACACACTTTTTTCCTTGGCCATCCCACAACACGCATGAAATCTTCCTTTAAAACACGAAAGAAACTGCCATACACATGTACCTGATTAAGATTTTTACCGGTAACACCGCAAACACTTAGTTGGTTTGGTTAGGTAGAAAAAAAATGATGAAAAATAAAAATAATAGAAATTGAAGAAATTAAGAAAAAAATAATAAAAAATATATTTTCATACATATATTTGATTAGAATGAAAAATTTATAGAAATTTTTTAAAATTTTTTTTTTTATTGTTTGAAAGAAAGTAAAGTTATAAGAAATTTTTTATAATTATCTAAATTACCCTTAATTATATTAAATTGGTCTAAAAAGAAAAATATATACAATTACAATTGAACGTTAATTTTTTTTTTTTAAAAAGTGGCTCGAAACCTAATTCTAAAACAATCATTACCACAAGGTTTTTGGGCCAAATTATATAATTAATCAAATTCATACCAAAATATTTTAAAATTAATAACTAATAAAATATTTTTAAAAAATAAGGGTAAAATGGAAAGTTAACTATAAATCACAACTTTCTTCCATTTCCTTGTGTTTTTTACAAGAAAAAAAAGTTAGTTATTTGTGAAAAAATTTAAGCATGAAAGAAAATTATTTTTTCTGTCATTTTTCTTTTCATTCTTACCAAACACATTAATATTTTAAAAATTTTATCTTTCTTACATTTTCTACCATTCTTCCTCTAAACAAACGATTTTTCAACATCAATTAGTCCTCTCTCAAAATCAATTGCATGCAAAATAACACTAATGGTGACTACAACATAGAGAAAGCTTTAATGATATATACATGCTTTAAGTTTTACCCCCCCAAAAAAAAAAGTAAATCCAAAGAAAATCAACACAAAAAAGTATGCACATTGGTACCTGCCGCCTCATCTTTCTCACCTAATGTGTGACGCCTTTTATTTCTTTTAGTTTTAAGAGATATTGATGGTCGATAGATGAGTTTATTTGAGATCGTCAAATAATTTTATTGAAAGTTGTTATGATTTATATTATAGATAAATTCTATTAGTTGAACTCTATCACACACAATCACTCTTAAACTAACACAATCCATCCTTTTTTATAAGCCTTTGATGCTAATTGATAAATGGTGCAGGTTGTATTAGATTAATTGTCATACTCCCTTTTCTGCTTCATTTTTTTTTATCAAATATATAGAACAAAATACAATACAATTCAAATATTAAAAGGTAACTTTTGTTTTTCATCGTGGAGATCTCTTTAAATTTTACTTTAAAATTAATTTGACGGCTAATATTAACACTCCAAATTTAATAAGAAAAATAGGTCTATAAGGATGTATGTTGAGTACCTTTTTAAAAGTGCTACTAAAACTTATAATTTTTTATAAATACTTAAAAAAAAAAGTACTGTTTGGAACTGTCCCACCACCACCACTGCCACAACCACCACCACCACACTTATCGCCCCACCTTCACCATCACCACCCCCACCGCCCGCACCACCATTACCACAACCAATACCACAACCACTACTACCACCACCACTGTTGCCACCCCGCTACCACCTCTTCCACAACAACCACCATCACCGTCATTGTTCCACTATCGCCCTTTTCACTACTACCATCAACGCTCCACCACCACTTCCCCTACCATCGCCACTCCACCATCCCACCACCCCCACTACTTCCATCGTCACCACCACCCTTACCCCCCCCCCC